TTTAAAAAAAAAAGAGCCAGATGACATATAACCCCAAGCATCCTCCAGACCACCCCAACCCCCACTGCCAATGACATACTTCCTCTGACTTAGTGCTTTCTCCCCTTTGCCACCTCTCAATAATGCTATCACATCATGCATTCAACAAGGGATCGATCCATTGATTAATCCATGGTCCAGTTGTCTCTGAAACATCATTACAGACATATTCAAAGATGGGCTGCACTAACCCCCTAGTCATTTCTTAATCTAATCGGGCAGACAATTAAGACTAATCACCTCAGGGATAATAATAAGAGTATCAGCTTACAGTACGTTATTATTTCCATCTATCAGAGCTCATCTCGGCCGAGAATATTGGGAATGGTAGAGTATTTTTTTAAAAAAAGAACACAGTTAAAGCTTCAGTTTTGGAACTTTGATCACATTCCACATTCAAACTCACTTCTATTTGCACAGGCTGGGAGAGTGTCTCAGTGGGAGAAGGCCTGCAAAGTCCTGGGGCCCATCCCCACACATCTTCCCCAGACACTTCTGTTTTCAGATTGTAGGGGGACTATTCCATAAAACAGCTAGAAGAACCTTTTCTCTTTTTCTTTTTTTTTCTTTTTAACATTTCTTCTATTCCAAATGTATTAATGAGCTGTCTGTGAAGCCAGGGCCTTGAGAAGCCAAGATCTTTGAAAGATGGAGAAGTCCCTGGAAAAGCCCTGACTGTTGGCACTCTCTACTCAGGCGCTTGCCAATTCTTAAGCACAGTGGGTATGAATCGGAAGCTGAGACACTGGGCTGTTAGCAGGAAAGAGTGTCAGGCCTGGGGAGGCTCAATGAAAAAAAAATTGAAATTCAGATATACTAAGTTAACCCTGAAGGGGGAAAGTAAAACAGAGATTCGTGTAAAGACAGAGCTGGTCTTTGCTCCTGTGTCCTTCCTCATTAGCAAGCAAAGCAGGGCAGGGGTTAGACAGACAGAACAAAAAACTGCCCGAGAAGCTATGCAAAGGTAATCGGAATCGTGGTCCTGTAGAGATGAACAGATAAACACCCACCGGAGCAGAGAAGCCTTGGGAAGCACCTTGTATTTTCAGTAGCAACTCAGGAAGCCTCACTCTAGTAATAAATACAAATATATAAAGACTAGCTTTGAGAAATGAAACATCAAGCCAGCTTGATCCCTGATGGATTCAGGGGCTTCTGGTTTTGGTCTGACTGTGGACACCCCTGAACACAACTCTGTGTGTGTGTGTGTGTGTGTGTGTGTGTGTGTGTGTGTGTGTGTGTGTGT